AACCCAGTATTTCTAACACCTTGAATGTTTTGGTTTGAAATCGCAAGGATAAATCTGACGCGGAAAGTGGCGGGTGTGTGAACTTTCGGTGTTTTGTGATCCATAGGGTAATACAAGTCCTGTGTTTTAGTGTTTTATAATGCCCTCAAAGGCAGACCAGAAATCTAGCCTTTCGGCCGGAAAGAGTTGGAACTGGTGGGAAGCATTGTTAGAGACCGACTATAGAGGGTGATGAATATACTTCTTTAGTTTGTATTGTGTGATTTGCAACATTATTTGAATTAAGAGTACTAATGAGGTCTGATTAACTGCCTCTTCCTCTTGAGTCCACTCTAGAACCTACATTTCGTATTTAGATCTATAAGTGAACTGCTGGTTCGAGTTCCTCTGGTACATTCAATTGACCACTTTGTCAAGCAGTTTTGGCGTGAGTTTCTACCAGTGATTACACAAAACTGGACCAACTAATTTTTATTTTTTTATGAAACGCACAAATATTATCTACTTTTCTCGTGGTTCTAGAAGAAAAAGTCTCAATATAATGTTTTATTTCAAAGTTCAAGTGGTAGTAAACGTCATTTTAACTGCTCGAATGAAGTGGTTGATTAGAAGATGTTCCTGAACACACAGTCAAACAGCACGTAATGTACTAAATAACTTCAATGACAGTTGTCCAGCAGTGCTCCAATTTTATTTATAACAATCTAATGCCTAAGAGATTGTGCCAAAGGTATGTTGAAAATGTGCCGATGGATGTGCCCAAGCTGTGTAGAATATTATTCCGGCACAATGTGCTGAATGACTTACCCCTTGGTTGAAGTAGTAATACTAATAGATAGTGGACTATACAAAGAAGGAGTGGATAAAGGACAAAGAGGAGGCCAAGCGACAAAATTGTCGCTTGGCCTTCTCTTCGTCCTTTACCCACTTCTTCCTTTTGGAAAAGCTAGTCACCTCCAAGGAAGAGCAAGAAGAACTCATAAACAATGTCCCTCAATACTATCTTGGTGTAATCATTAAATTAACACTGGTTCTTGGCTCTGTGGAGTCCTTTTGGACATTTAGGCCTAGCAGATAAATTAATAGAAAAAAGTGGCTTCAAATTCTGCACGGATGTATGTTGGAGAGAAATCTAAATTTTAATGAAAAAAAAATTTTAGAATTCTTTACAAAACGGTACTAGTATTTTTTTCAGGATATTCAAGAAATTCTTTTGATAAAGTGTATGAATTAATCCTCGGATATTCCTTCATATAATTATGTTCAGAAATTAGGTTGCAATTTATTATCTGAATTTGAAACTTCCTTGCAACTCTCCATCGAATTTGTTAGAAGTTAGACTTGGATTTGTTTTCCAAATCCCATTTGAATACTCCTCCGATTTCCCATAAAAAACTTACAATCGTTATATTTTCCACAGGATACATTCGGACCTATCCTCAGCATCAAAATTCCTTTCAATTCGTCACGGAGTTCCTTTGGAACTCAATTCATAATTCTACCGGTATTCTGTTTAGGAATGCAATGCCATTATTTATCTTAGAATTTTGGAGAATTTTGAGATTAGGGCGTAATTGCTTTTGCAAACAAACACGTCAATTAACGATTTCTCGCGAATTAAAGCTCAATCTCAAAAACTAACAACACAAACAGGTAGAGGAATTACTCCTCTATCATTTGGTATAGTTTATTTGCGAGATGGAACTTTTATTTGCGAGTATTCGGCGATTGACGTGTTTGTTTTCAAAAGCAATTACGCCCATATCTCCAAGTTGTCCGGCCATTATCCTCTGAACATATTTGAAATACCCTCAATAGTCATTGAAATCCACTCAGAATTAGTGTAGATGTACCAGTTATGGCTATATGTTCCTATTACAGTGCTTTCGTGCTTAATTTGTAACTGGTTACCCTCCGATGTTTCATATGTCCTTTGTGGAGAGCCCATAATTTTAATTTCGGAATGTACAGGGTAGGCCCAAATAAGTGACGCATGAATTAAGGATCGGATCTCCCAAGGAAAGACAAAAGGTTTTATTGGTTCTCTTCTATTCTCTTTATTACATTTTATAGTTTAAATGTACATATTTACTTTTCGATTCTATCGCCTTTTGCTTTAACTATTGCCCTTAGTCGCTTCCGAAAGGCATTACAAGCGGCACGAACCTGATTTTCGGGAATTTCATCCCATATCTTCTGTAAAGTAGCCTTGAATTTGTCTATACCCATTGGCTTAAGATCCCGAAAATGTGCTTCCATGATTCCCCATATAGAAAAATTCAGAAGGTTTGCATCTGGCGAAGAAGCTGGCCATAACTCCTTAGGAATGAAATCTAGCAAATTTGCGGTGCACCATGCTTGGGTAATCTTTGCTCCATGGGACGGGGCAGAATCCTGCTGGAACACCCATTTGCGGATACCGAACATCGCTGAAGCATGCTTCTTCAAATGGTATTCCAGAACCTCTCTTACAAAGTAAGCCGCGTTGATTTTCACTCCTTTGTCAATAAAAAGCAATGGTAGACGACCTTCTGCAGAAATCCATGACCATGACAGAAGTATGATTTTGGAATCGTTGAACTCTGCGAATTGAAGAAGGGATATTCTGAATCGTCGCTGCATAGACCCTGTCGTTTTGAGCGTTGAAACTTTGCTGCAATACGAAGTTTTTTCGTCCGAAAACACGATCAAAGAATCACTGGCATCTGCTGGCAAAGCAGTTCACGGCAGCTAATAATTCGGTTCTTCTTGTTAGCTTCTGAAAGTCCATGAATTCTTCTTTTCTTGTACGGCACCAATCCCAAATCATCTTTAAGAACTGCTCTGATAATTTTCCAGAGCGAGTTTATATGACGATCGGATAGGATTTCGGTCCGGTCGATTAATGTGCGACATATTCCTTCCTTTCTGGTCTCAGCCAATACCTGGTAAGGACGCTTACCCTCCATATGCAACTGCAAAATCCTTTTTTTTTTAAATCCATCTCTAACTGAGGCACTTCCTGTTAATGTAATATAGTGCACAGTAGTTTGTTTACATTTTAATCAGTCACTCTTTCATGTGTTAGCCACCAGATAGCTCTCACATAATCCAGAAGAATTTTACACTGAAGCAAAAAAATGCGTCAGTTATTTGGGCCTACACACAATTTTGTTCACTCTAATTGAAACTAGGGTACGGGTAAACTTGTCTGCTAACAGCTCTCCATAAAACTTAAAAATATTAAAGTTGTACCGTCACTAGCAGCACTCTTGTTGTAAAATGGTTGAGACAACTTTCGGGATCTTTCGTTCAGCTCAAAAAACTTTTTTCGAACTTAAACTAAAAATAGACGATGACGATGATAAAACTGAAAGCTGAAACAAAACGACTAATTCTTCAAGATATTTTAACTTCCCCGAAAGTCTAGACTTTCTGAAGTTTTCGGAGCGTCCCTGAAGTAACTGGAACTGCCCTAAACATCTGTCTCTGTCTCTTAACTTCAATAATGTTCTCTAGTGGATTTCTCAGAGGTTTTAAAAAGTTGACGCAAATTTCCTTGAAGATAACTGTACTGCCCTGAAGCTTTTAGATATATCTTGAATCTCCCACATTTTTTCTGTTGTTTTTAATTCTTCCTTGAAGCTCGTGGAATTTCCTTTAAAATCTCTAAACTTCAATGAAATTTCCTAAATTTTCAAGAAGTTCTCGAATTTTCTCTAAAGTTTCCTTCATTTTCTAGAAGTTCTCGTTCCAACAGTTTTTTCTAATATTCATGGAACTTCCCTGAAGATTACGCATATTTACAGAAATATTCAGAATATTCTTCGGAACTTTTTGAAAGTTCCTGCTTAATTAATAGAACTGCTCTAAATACTTGGAACATCTCTGAAAATAATGAACCTGCTCAAAAATCCTTTAACTTCTCTAAAGTCCTCTGATCATTCTTAGAGGTGCCGGATCTTTGCTGAGTTTCTTGAAAATTCTTTAAAGTTCCTGCAATTTCCTTGAAGTTGATTGAACTGCCCCGTTTTTAGCCTAAAGGCTGGTTCACCTCTAGGCGGTCTATTTTTAATTGCGGAGCTTCTATGAACTAGCCAACGGCTAAAACTCACTCTAATAAAGTTTTTTTTTTTTTTAAATCTATGATTTAATTAAATAAAACTAGGAATTCGATTGATTCCAGACGTATTCGCAAATCCATTAATTTAGTATTGCTTGGGTTGTGAACTGATCTCATTGCCAAAATTAAACTCAGAAACTTTTCCGAAGACACCAAGTCAAGGAAGCGCTTCGTTCGGAGCCATTCATTTAATCAAACCTATCTGTGTCACTATTACCGAATTTGATTTTCATTCAAGATAGAGGTTTTGCACTGGGTTAGAACTGGTTGGATAAATAACAAATTCGATATATGTACTGCTTTTCCTTCCGCCAGGAAATAGATACTTGACCAGAAAGAAACATGTACTTGTCTCAATGAGTTGTGATACGCTTCATTGGCATTCATCACTAAGCATCCCAGTCTTCTTGTTCTGAAACAATAATTGCAACCATCAGAGGTCTTGTCACGTAAGTGGAGCATGATAAAAATTATCTCAATCGCCCGTTGGGACCATTATTGTTACGTGATTTTGGTAACCATCAATCATATTCCACTTACCACCGGACCGGTACTCAGACGCTGAACAAATCAAGAGAGCGAGAGTGAGTTGAACACCATCAAATCCACCACGCTTTTCCACTCAGGTTTTTCCCAGCCGCGTACTTTTCCATCCTCACGGGAGCGGTCCGTTTGGCGCGCCTTTTTCCGCGAGCGTCACTCCACTCACACGATGAGAACCACCTCGAGATTGGGTGTATCCAGCTTTCCAGCTGCTTGTTGCGCTTTGCATCCTCCGATGGGTGAGTGCCCAAACACCGACCGACCGACCGACGATGACGACGAAGGCTGGATGCAGGGTGAGTGCTCGCCCAAAGCCGAATCTGGTCTCGGCATCTGCCAGTACCAATCCTCAGTTGGTAGCGGCCGGAGATATCTATCCACAAATCCCGTACGCGGACGCCCATCGCCTAGAAAAGTGACTACACACTACTGCTACTACTAAAGCGCGCGACGAGCGAGAGACGAAAGTCAGAGCCAGAGGGAGTAAATATATCGAGGCCATATCCCGTCTTCAGTCAATGTAATCGCAGCTTCCGGGCCCGGTTTCGTTCGGTTTCAGTTTCGCGGCCATCCGAGTTGTTAACCGCGGTTGCTTCCGGTTCGGATTGTCCATCGACGGAACATGACAGATCTACTAGATGCAACTTTGCACTAGGTTTTTGGATGATTTTATTCCACTGGAAAGCTGAAATGATGACACAGGAGAAAGCTCGTGCTGTTACAGTTTTTTGACGATTCGAAAATGTGAGCTTGTTGGGCCCCTTTGCTTTTTGTTGGGCTTAGTTTATTACACAGTGAGAGGCAGGTATGTTTGAGGTGATGTTTTTTTTTTCCAAATGAAAAATGATGCTGCAATCGGTAGATAGTTTTTTTTTAAGCGATGAACGAAAAGTCAGCCATCAAAAGTGAGTGTGCTGCCAACGTGCTTAGAATAGTCAATTCACCAGCAGCACAGTGCACAGGTCACGGCAGAGTGAAAATTGTGAAAACAGATAATCGTGCGAATAGAATACACGCAAATTGAAATTCCGAGTGATTGATCTTGTTTCGAGTGCGAAAATGTGCGCGAAGGAGAACGAATTGATGAGAAGAAGTCGAGGTGCGTCCGGTGGGTGTTCCTTGTAAACATGTGAGACCTCCCTGCCTGAACCGAGAAGAAACAGAGTGGATTAATTCAGCGCCGCTCTACACACGAAGATTTCAACTACACCTAGAAAGCGAAAGAAGCATGTGATGGAGAGCTTGGCTGTATGCATCTGCTCGATGTGGTTTCTCCCTGGAACAAGACGTGGTTCGTTCGAAACAAAGGCCTTGCAAAACGTGGGAAAATGGGAAAAGCGAAACACAAATGGGCTTATTACGGAAATGATCTATTTTCACACCGTCGTGTCGTCATTCGTCAAAAGGATTCCCAAGGCCTGGTGCGGTTGATGTTCCGAGAGTGATTACCATCCATCACAGAAGATAGATAGGGATTGGGGCGAGGCAATGGAGACCCCCGGTAGAAAGTGAAGAATAATTGTTCCAACGAACGAAGAGAAGTGCTTCGTTTTTTTTTTTTTTTTGTGTCGTTGTTGTACAAGGACACCCATCAAGGATTGTTGGATTGGATGCCCACCTGCGTCGTCGCCTCGACAATACAAGCGAAAAGCTGCCAGAGAGAGAAAAAGATATACCGAGAGGCCAGCAGCAACAAGCGCCGTGTGTTTGTGTGTGTGAGTGTGTGTGTGTGTGTGTGTGAGTGTGTGTGTGTGCATGGGATGCTGCCCAACGCAGTTACATAATGAGCGCCATTTTTCCCCCCAGATTAGGGCTTACAAGTGGCAGTTATACACATGCGACCATAAGATTTGCAGATTGTTTGGAGGAACTTCAAACGGGCCTGCCACTGCATGCAGCGCCCGAACCAGGTAACACATGTAATCGCACCGCCGAGATACAGTTGAAAAAGATACAGATCCATCCCGACGACAGTTTTGATTTCGGAATCGGTCCGTGTCCGCCCATGCAAGGAATGGAAAAGAAAAAAAAAAGTTGTGGAGGAAATCGGCGGGGTGGAGTGCGTCGCTCTTTGTTCTCTGGGTGTGGAACAACTCTCTTGGAACGATGTAATTTATGGCTTATTATGGGAAAGTAGATGATCTGGAATAATTCACAAAAATTCGAATGACGATGACTAGCGTCTTCTGTAAATGTTATTGCGATTTTTATGGTGATCACTGTTCTGAGATTTTGATAACAACAGTTTAAGCGACCTTATTAAGTGATTTCAACTAAAGAACAGTTAGCCATATTCAGCATATTATACATAAATCTAAACAAATAATTATGCATGAAGCAGTTATTTCATTACGCGAATTGGATAATTATAGAGCCTTAAGTATATTTGACACATAGAACCAACCAGAAAATGTAAGAATCGCATACAGTTTAGTATGAAAAATGAACCGAACAATTCCTGTGATGCAGCTTTCAAAATAATTATGCAAAATTATTCTTTGATTATTTAAGAAGTAAATACATTCCCTCCAAAACATTAAATGTACAAAATTATCTTTTGAAAACGTTCACTACAGACTATTGTAAAAACTAACATTGTAATTATCGTAAGAAATATCTACAAAGAAATGTATGCGACATGTGAGGTTTGTTCCCGTACCTACAGCAACTGTACGAAATGCTTATCCCGTAATGTATGCCCCTGCTTCGCTTCTATAGAAAATGGAGATGTTACAGAATATGTAAAATCAGTGGCGTTACCTGAAGGGGGCAACCCAAGCAATGTCGGTTAACAAAAGGAAAGCAAATCGATATTAAAGTGTGCGGTTCCTATCAATGAATACTCATTTTGATTTCAATTGTCGCGATAAAAGTCGGATATCATTTCAAGCTTTCATTATACGATTATTATTTAGGGGTTTTTTTTAATTAGAGCAACTTAACTTCAAGTTTTAAAATAAACGATTTGTTCAAAATTTTATTTAATCTGTCATTGAATTAACGATTATGTTCATTTGTTTTGTTTAACACATTTTAGGTCATTCGGACTTACCCAGGATTAGATTTGAACTCAAGTCTTTCAGCATCATCACCCTGAAAGACATTAGTTCAAAGCTCATCCCGGGTAAGAAATCAGATTGATTTTATTGAAAGCGTGCAGAGTTTTTCGTTTGATTCAATATTTTTGCTGTGTTAGCCTTTAACTCAACCAAAATGATATCAAAGTTAGTATTTAAAATTTCTAACATCAACACAGTAAATTTAGTTTTCAATTTGATTTCTAACTTTGGCGAGGGAGAGCATCTGGTTAAAATTTTAATTTTTTTATAAACTTTAATTATTGCTACACAAATAATGAAGTGTCTTCTGATGATGATGGCTCCACCTGTTACCCCTTAAAAGGTTTTAGCTGGACGATTTATCTTTAAGATACCGTATGCGTGGTAATGTTTGCACCATTAAGCAATGTCAAAATTAAAAAAAATCTCAAAAATTTCGTTTTCGAGTTTTTTTTAATTATTCAAAAGGGGGATGTTTTTCAGAGTCTTAAACTATGTTAATCATCGATCGAGTTTCCACTTGCTGCAATTACGGCCTCCACACGCTTCCAGAATACACGGCAGGTTCTAATAATGTAGTCTGGATCCATTTCTCTCCAGGTACGGGTCAATGTTTGTCTGAGGCTTGCTGTACTCGGGTGGCGTTTAGAACAGGCCTTGGCCTTCATGACGTGCAATATTGAGTAATCCAGTGGATTAAGATCGGGGCTGGATGGCGCCACGTATCCTTCGCCCAGAACAGAAGATGTTCCTGCAACCACTTCTGAGTGCGGTTCAAGGTATGGCACGGAGCCCCATCTAGTTGAAATGCAACATTTGGCTTCGGACCGTACTGTTCTTTGATCCATGGAAGAACACACTTACTTAAAATCCCGATGTAGACCTCCGTGTTGACCTTGTCGCCTTCTGGAATGAACACCAAACGCTAGCAGGATGCTTCCCAAGTAACAATTCTGCAATCATTTGGCATCCACTCTGATTTATGATGGTTTTATAACGACAATGAATAATCCATTTAGTTTAAATACAGCATTTCACAGTGTAAAACGTTCCTGTTTAGTAGTTCACCTTTTCGCTGTTTTAAAAACCTTTTACAGTCTGGCGAGAAGTCAAAAACTGTCTTGTTTTTAAATTAAATTTAAAGTAGTTCTCAATCCCACCATAAAACTGTTCTATAAATCAATCATAAACTTCATTAGCAATTTTTTATTAATGTCTTGATAAAATACTCTATAAACCTGTTCTATAATTATAAAAGCTATCATAAAACCATTAGGTTTTAAATGAGAACAAAAGGCATATATTGTTGCATTTAAGGCTTTTAAAAGTGTATCATAAAATCTCCTCACAGTGAATATAAACCAAATTTATGACAAGGATATCTCGAAGGATAAACGAAGCTGAAGGAAAAATACCAGCTATGCTAACGACCGAATAGAAGTCGATTTCAGTAAAATTTTGTTCTTTAGAAGAACCAGCACGTCCGGCGGAACGGGTACCATCAACGAATGAGCATCTGGTGGAGAAGAGTGAAGTGAGCGTGGTCCTCAAATTCATAAAACATTGTCAAAGCAGTCTGAAAACAGACCAGCCTTCTCCAGACCTTGCGAATAGATGAAGATCGGACTAACTTGTGTCAGTACCGACAGCAAACCACTGAAACTGTCAGTTAGCGGACACTAGTTGGTTTCCGATCCATAGCTGCGATTTTTTTCAGCGAAAGGGTCATCACGTGGAAAAAAAATCATTCAACCGTACATTCCTGCATCGTTTGATGGTGCACTTCCAGAACCATCCGGAAGAAGGGGATCTTTTCGGGAATGATCGAGGTTACAGCTGTGCGAAATGCGAAATGTTGTGAACACTTTCTGAGTAACTGATTCGAAGCCATCGGCAGAGAATCGCCTGGAAGAACGCTGAATCGCACAGTGCAACTATCGAAAGATAAACAAACTTTGACATTTAACATTCTGTAGGCAACATTGCCGCCATAAATGCTGCCATAAATCTAAACGGGTTAGGATCAAGCAAAATGGCTTAAGATTAATACAATACAGTCTACAAGTTTTCTTCATAAAAGCCAAGTCATAACCTTATGAATTTGTTAAGGATTTCTTGAAAGCAAAATAACTTTGTCACAAATGACCCATAAAAATCAACTTTTATGCCTCCGCCATATTACAAATATTTTGTTTGTTTTTTACAATCTTCGATTTTCAATCCATATTTCCTTGGATATAATTTTATTTTAGTTAATTTAGCATGAGAAATATTTAGAATGCAAATATCATGAGAAACAAAAATCTCGGCTAAACTTTATGATCGATCTGAAGAATATATTTTATTTTCTTAATGT